GCGACTCGCCCGGGCCGGCGAGGTCGCCGCCTTCGGAAGGCCCAGGCGAGGGCCGCCGCTCCTTCCGGCGGCGTGGCGGGCCACCGGCGAAGGCTTGGCCACGCCGCACGGTTCTGTTTTTTTTTTTTTTTTTTTTTTTTTTTTTTTCCGACGTTAATTGGACAGAGTTATAACGGTAGGGTAGATTTGGGACTCGGAGAAAAGTTTGAGGTTTTTCTTGAGACAAAAAAAAGTTCAGGGTATAATTGGGACAAAGTGTAAAGTTTGGGGTTTTTTTTGGAATTAGGCCTAATAACATCTTCCTCTCTTTTGCCCCGCCTCCTGCTCTCTTCAGCTTCCTCCTTCGCGCGACCCGCAGCTTCCTCCCACCTCTTCCTTCTCCTTCGTCGCCGACGAAGCGCAAGGCAAAGGAGATGATGGCGTGAAGGGCGTCGTCCTCGGCGCTGGAGAAGCGGGAGGCGAAGGAGATGACGGCGCGGAGGGTGTCGTCCTCGGCGCCGGAGATCTGGCACCTTCTTCCTCATCTATCTCTCTCGGCTGCACCTTCTTCCTCATCTCTCTCGATAACGAGGGCACGCGTGTCGCCGGCGTGTCCGATGCGTTGGTCGCGTGTCGAATGTTCGACACCTCTTGACCACTTGTTCGAGCGTGTCGAACGCGTGTCGGACACCGACACGGTGGCTCTAAGAGAGTGTCGGTGCAACATACTGGTCACAAGCCTGCCGGAAATTTCAGGCACGCCACATTTTTTCGACAACTTACTTGGATCGATGCAACCGGTGCTTTTCAACATCCTTCAACAAAAACAGTCAAGTGGGTGGATAAATCCAATGTCTATGATTTGAAGAACTATGGCTATGTTAGAAGACGACAATTCGGATATTGGATTAGCTTTGGTGGTCCGGGGAGTTGTTGTGAGGGAGGGAGGGATGGTTAGTAATGAGGAGCTATCTTGAGCAATTCAATAAGTGAGGCTTTCGACTTTGAAACTTTTTGTTTTAGTTTTTAGTTAGTGTTGATCTTTATCTCCCTTTTTCTTGAGGTTGCGGTTGGAATATGAGGGGTGAATTCCCATAGTAGACCTGTCAAATGGGTGAGTCTGATCAGGTTTATGTTGGGTCGAAAATTTTTCGATCCAAATTGACCCATTTAATCCGTTTAACCCATTTCCATGCAATGTATATATAGTGACACATACCTTACCAGATCCATCCCCAATCTTACCTATATTACTAACATGCTTATATATTTAACTCAATATAGGAAAACTCATACCCAAATTGAAGTGAGAGCGCGAAGTGAGCGAGCACAAGATCGAGTGAGGGTAAGAGAGAGTTAAGAGAGATTCATAGAGGTGAGTTGGATTTAAGTAAACTGTGAATTCATTTAACATACATATTATTTTTGGTTTTACCATTCTAAACTCATTTATGACCTATTTACTGTATGTAACTATCGCGATCCTCCTAACGCGATCCTCCTAACGTGATCAAGGAATGACAGGTTTAAAGATAATGTCCAAAAGGTGGGCCAACGGCCCTTGATTAGGCATGAGCTCTCCTAAACCCCTATCTCACGCAATGTTGGGATTCATTTTAAGTTCCAAAGGTTCTATGTGAACTGGGAGTCTCCACTAGTCGATTGAAAAGCCAAGTGAGGTACGAGAGTATATCTCACTTTCTACGCAACCAGAGATTCAAGTACAGGTACTTGGTTACACTAGTTATCGAACTAAAACCCTTTTGGTACCTAAACTTGAGTATTTGTGAACTAAGTGATCCATGCGGTCTTTTCATTTTATATTCCATTTACGTGTTCATCTATGTGTCCATATGCAATCGAGCTAAACATAGATAATCATAAATACATATATCCACACCCAAACAATGAAAATGAAACCACATAAGATCAAAGTATGACGATATTGAAATAAGTAAAGTACAGTAGGTAAAACCCAATACAAGTCGGGCAAAAAATATATATGACCTTGTTATAGAGCCCAAAACAGGGTCCCTCAGAAGCTAAATGGAAACTTAAATATGCATGAAATTACTCTAATTGCGTGAACTACATTTAGATAATTCTAATATATACAAAACTGATTATTTACGAAAATAATTATTCGTAAAATGCCAAAAAAACACTAAATTAGGAGAATGACTTTAGAAAAATGAGGAAAATTCCAAAAAATGTCATTTCTTCCCTAATTTAACACTAGCCCACAATTTTTTTTGAAAAATTTCCAGATTTTGTTTTAAATAATTTTAATTCATTAAACCGAACTGTGTTTAATAACTCAGGATATGGATATCACATTAATCAAGCTCGAATCAACATTTTCAAGATTCACAATTGGTTTGGGCATTTCGTCGAACACATAGTATGCATTAGATTGGCTTGACAAGTTTCTCTTAATCATGTTCATGGCCTTCAATCTTTATCCATAAGCAACCTTAACCTCAAATAAGGCATCAGTGTTATTCTACAACATTCAGGGAGCAATATTAACTAGAAATAAGTGTCGTGACCTTCCCTCGAGTGAACCACTTAGGGGCTGATTATGTGGGATTACTAAGCCCAAAGACTTAGTTCGAGCTCTTCCAAGTCCATACCAATTCCCAACTTTCAGATCAATTAACATGCAAAATCAATTTATTTAGGAGTCGCAATTAATAAGTTATTGATAGGTTGATTAGATACCCAAATAAAGTGTGGGATAATAATTTACTTCTGCGAATGAGAGATTTCCGGATATGGGGACTTGATTACGTTGGATTAATCAACACCCATTCGGTACATTTTCTCTTTATTTCAAAAACATTTTTGCAAGCAATCTTGAATCAATTTTAAACCTAGTCACTAACATGTAATGTGATCACGTGGGCATGCAACCAATAAAAGTAACACTTCATAAATCAAAAGCAATAAATAAATTGCAAGAAAAAAAGAATTCTATTCTAATTATGCAATTGTAATTAGCCTTTTCTGGGTTTTCTCTTTAAGGTGCACATGGCAACGATTCTGTGCCCGAGAACTGATCCTGCTCAGAAATGATTTTTTTTTATTCTGTGCCTGGGAACTTATTCTGAGCATTTGAAAGTGTTTGATAACGGCCCAAAATTTCCATTTCTGGAATAGAAAAAAAACAGAAATGCTTTGGTAACGACACAAAATTTCTTTTTATTAATAATATTTTAAATATTTTAATATTTCTTTCTTTTTTTTTCTTTTTTTTCTTTTCTTTTTTTCTTCTCTCCTTCTTGGCCATGGCCGGTAAAATATTTTTTTTAATTAATAATATTTTTTTAAAATATAACTTTTTTAGTTTTTTTAGCCATGGCCGGTAAAATATTTTTTTATTAAAATATTTTAATAAAAATTATTTTTAATAAAAATATTTTTTAATTTTTTTTTGCCATGGCCGGTAAATTTTTTTTATATTATTTATTAATAATATTTTTTTATTATATTGAATTTTTTTTTGCCATGGCCTGATTGCCGGCCATGGTCGGTAAAATATTTTTTATTAATAATATATTTTTTTCATGGCCTAGTCGCCGGCCATGGCCGATTAATTATTTTTTTATTAATAATAAATTTTTTTGTTCATGGCCTAGTCGCCGGCCATGGCCAGTAAAATATTTTTTTATTAAAATATTTTAATCTCGCCAGATATGGCGAGGGCGGTCCTCGCGCCGGACATTAGAAGCTACATCAAAAACCAAGAAAAAGAAGAAGAAAAAAAAACTGATTCTCATTTTTGTTCCCAGAATCAAAAAGCTATTTTTTTTATTCTTGATTCTGTTCCAAAACTCATTCTGGGAACAAATTCTTGCAAATTTGTGCTCAGAATAAAAAAATTAAACAAACGGATTTCTGTTTCCAAACTGATTCTGGGAACAAAAGAATAGAATCAATCACTATTTGGCAAGTTGCCATGCGCACCCTTAATGAAAATTGAGTTTTACGCAATGCATGTGATGCAAACTTACTCTAAACGCAACTAATCTGATGTGAAAGTTGATGGCTCCCGGCTCCAATGGCTACCCTCACCTATGTAACACAGAGGCAACTGCTTTGCTTCCTTCTTATTCTTTCCACCAGCTAAAGATTGAAATACACTTTAAATGGACTAAAAATCCGAATGATATAGGCAGACTAAGCTTGAGTGAGTAATAGGAGTGCGGCAGAGAGGGCATTCGGGCTTCTCGTTGCACCATTCCATAATGCGATTCCTATACATGGAGAATTGCACTAAAATGTAAAATAGGAACACACATAACCACAGAGGAAAACGGGAATTCAAGTCATGCAGAGGAGTACCGGCTGAATACATGACCACAAGGCGTGGCCGTTGGGTTGCTGGCGAGGGCTCCGGCACAATGTACATTTACTCGTCCCAGTCGTTCCTTGAGGCTGAACGAGAAAACAAGGCGTAAGAGACAACCCCTGATTTCATCGGCCATCAACCATGCACCAGACGTAGGTCATGACACATATCTGAACAGGATACTAGCTCCCTAACATGCTTATGTTTCCTGTGATCTCTCTTTTTGGAATATATCTCGGGGATTTCAAGCTAATCAAGAAGACCAAATCAATGTTTTCGTCGACCAGTAAGGACTATCCCACTGGGACCATCAAACACAGCCAAACCTCCAGTCATGGAGCTCTACATCCTACAGATTAAGGTATAGTAAAAAACTAGCGTGATATACATGTTGTTAGAAACCAAGGATTTCTGTGATGTGTATAGGCATGCGTGTATCTTCTTGTGGATTCATTGGTAAGAGCCGTCCTATTTCTGCAAAAAACCAAAAGAAAATAGACGCCGTTGCCGGGGATCGAACCCGGGTCACCCGCGTGACAGGCGGGAATACTCACCACTATACTACAACGACCTTGTGGCTCTTCTCATAATTTAAATTTATTTAATGTTAAGATTAAAGGGCTGTTCTCTTTCTATTTGTACTGCGTGTGCGGATAACGTTCCACAGGTTGGAGGCCATCCGCATCATCTTCCTCCTCATTCCCACTCAACACTGCTCTTGCGTTCCCGACCAAACCCAGGAGGTCAATCCTTGTCGACAAGCTCCTCCGGCGACGACCCAACCAAGACCAACACGGCGATGGCGGCGGCAGCGACAGAGAGCCACACCTCGGAAAGCTCCATTGAAGCTCCCTGACTTGCCCCCTTCTCTCATCTCCGTGCTCAATGTCGAACGAGCCCTTCGCGGCATCAGTAAAAGACTCCATCTTTAGCTCTCAAAGTTTTGGTTCTTTACCGAGGGGGGGGGGGGTGTTTCAATCGTGTCCTGCTTGAGTTTTGTTCGGGAAGAGGAGGTAAAGATGGGAATTTGATTGGTTTTGGTTTTAGAATGCAGCCATCACGGACGTGGATCATTACGGCAGGCTCGGGCTCCCGAGAAAATGCCCCTACGATCAGGTCCAGCCCATGTGCCTCCCGTGTGCTTGTATCTTCGCCCAATTCAGGCACTCTGATTTCCCTTTTCGAAGAACGTCGAGATTAATGTTCATATTCTGTCTGCCTGCATGGAAACGAGCTGGTTGCCAGGCCGTACAAGAAGAAGGTGGAAGAAGTGAACAGCGAGGAGGGGCTCGAAGAAGATGAGATCAATGAGATTTCGCAATGTTCGGACAGGAGTCGTGCAAGGATACTGTCATCAGTCGAAGAGAAAACACTGTATGATTGGAGCTTGGCCAGGAGTGAGAAGCCGGACAGATACATGTGGCCTTTCGAGGCCGACATTACTCAGACCCCTACACACTCTCCTCTCCTCCTCCACCACCGGTACTCAATCAAACTGCTCCATGTTTTCTCTCTGTTCTTTTTATCATTCGTCCAAAAAGGCTTTTACTTTTTGGTTAATCTAGATCTTACGGCACGCGCATTTTCAATTTGTTCAATGTTAAATTGCTCGAATAATCTCGAATGGAATGTCCATATGCTTTAACAAGTTCCATTTGCTGAGAGTCTAAAGCTTTGTGATGCAGGAACCGGAGGATGAGGGGCCGACGAGACTTGTTAGTTACTTCAGGCTTGGATGGGTGGTATTGTCCTTCGTATTATCTATTATTCTCAATCGATAGTTCATCGAGTTTGTAAAACATATATATCCCAAGAAGAATCTTGAATTGGACGAAGCACGGATCTTGAATTGGTTGTAAATTATAGTAATTCTTATTGAAGTTTCTGTAACCAATAAACTTCATAATCCAATGTCACCACACATCGATCAACCAAATATCATGATAGATCTATATACCAAAAAGAGTGCATTTGTTTACTTTGATCTTCATATATATTCCTCTCAATATATCTCGAGATGGTTTGTTAGATTGTAAGAGAGTATCGGTGGTGTTGGCACGAAATCGACGCTATCACTACTGACGGTATAATGGTTGACTTTGGTTATATCATGCCTCACAATTCAACCAGGGACTCCTTTATCCTTCTTAAAGTTTAAAACGACATACTTTTCGATTCAAGAAAACTTACCTCTAGTTCAAAACGACGCAACCTTATGAACGTAAAATTTGGAACACTTACATTTTGATACTTCTACATTCTATAACGTCGTATCTCTCACCAAAATTACGAGCCAGAGCAATGTGCTCCAGTTGTAGATGGGCAGCACAACACGACAAAATGCCGCAGATTCAGCTCAATTCGATCCTCAACTCAGGCTAAACATTTGTTTTCTACATAGTCCAACGGTTGAGTAGACAAAGTAATTCATTTCATCGAAAATTGACTCCATCCATCGTCTCTATAATCAAAATCTTGTTCGCACAACTTTGAGATAATATATACTCAGTAAAAAGTATTGCTCTATTTTTTCATATATTTTTCAAGAAACAACCATCATCATTAAAACATTGATCAATCTTGATTAATAACATCTACAAATTCTTTTCGTCTCACTAAATTTATAATTCATTTGTAGGTCCAACCGAATGATACGATACTCTTGTACTTGGCCCAACTTATGCCATCCCTTGGGGTCAAAGATCATTCAGGCAGATCTGATGGGCCGAAAAGCTCGTCGCTTCTCTTATTTTCGAGTCTTAATACGATTAGCTCCATCAAAAAGATGGTTCACCTCGACCAATCAAACACTTGTGCATATCTCCCAGGAGCCATTGAATACGCATGGATAAGTCAAGTGGCACGGAACCCGGTTACGCAATTTCTAAGATTGCGCCTTTTGGATTTGCCGTGTTGAGCTCTATTATTAGTTCTTGGCCTATTTGTATGTGTCGAGTGGGTTTCTGCCAATAAGCTTACTTACACCTCTATCCTCTCTCATCTTCCCTTTGCTTACGCATAGTTAACATTGATTAAGAATTGAGCTAGTAGATGAACCCGAGAGAAAACGAGTTGTGTGAAGAGGGAAAGTTTCATTAATTTCTTGGACAATTTTATTGTTCCGTTTAGGAAAAAAGCGATTTTTTTGTGCTGGTACATTTCTTAAAGAGTCGGTAATTTTGGTAAAAATGTTTATGTTCACCTGATTTATCGGTAACTTGTTAATTTCTTATCGACACTTTTATAAAAGTGTTTCGATACTTTCTCCACAAAAGTAGCAAAACATATCTGCAGTAGTATCCTTACCAACTATAATAAAATTGTTGATAATTTCACAAAAGTGTTGGTAGATTATCAATAAGTTGCGTGTAAAAAAAAAAAGCCACAAATCCTTTTTCTACCAACAGTTTTCTGACACTTACCGACATTTGTTAAAATTTACCATCACGTTAAAAAGATATCGCAATTTTCCAGCATGGAACTGTCAAATTCTGCTGGTTTCTTGAATCTCGCTGTCACTTAACAAAAAGATCAAACTAGCAAATCCATTGCGATGACTTATTTAAGTTTATTTCTTTTTGGTCAAGATGACTTGTTAAGTTTACCTTGCAAGAAGATTAGGTGGGCTTTGCTGGCCAAAAGAAAGAAGTTTACGTGGCTTTGCCTTCGATGTGCTTCTCAAGATGTGTGTTGCCTAGAAGCGTTCACTTCAGTAATACTTTCCCCCACAATTTAGCCAAAATTTTGCTAAACTCGACCATTTTCAACCGCTAGATGTCCTTTTCTCATACAATTTCGTTGTTATACGCAGGTACATGGTCCCAACAAGAGTTGCCCAAACACTTGACTTTTTAGATGTGAAAAACGAGTGAAAGGCGATCGTGTGTTTATTGCTAAGCTTGGTGTAAGACAGTGCATACCCAAGGCAAAATAGCTATCGATCTCGTGTCTAATGAATATGGTGAAAGAAAAGTGTGAGATAGTCGAGATTAACTCGTTCGACCGATGATCGCTTGGCTTCAACGGGATTCTTATCTAGTTCAGTTATATTCGGAATAGCACAACAACTCAAACATCAAGTGAAGGCGAGTTTCGAGCTTTGACTAGGGCGGCTCCCGGATCTTGCTAAGCGACTGTATTCTCAGAACTCGACTTCGTGTTTTGCTCATATCTTAATAATAGGTAAGGTCAAGTTCAGTTCAAATACATCGAGCACATCACGAGTGGAAAAAAATCGAGCTCATTTTAGCATGAGCGAGAGTGTCATACCTTAGAGTTAGCGAGTCGAGTCGAGTTTGAATGTTGGACGGTGTTGACTCGACTCTAAATTGATCTTGACATTGAGAAATGAGAATTACGGCATCTTATGCACCAAGAAGATGGGTCCTAGTGGGCCTCAGTTAGGTTCTTGAGGTGACATTATCGTATTGTTCATCAATTTCAACTATGAAACCGTATTTGACTGAAATTCGATAATTAACTCATTGCAAGATACTAGACGCTTACGTGGAAGGACACAGACACTCCATGAAAGGTCCAGGCGTGGCACTTTCTTGTAGAATTAATGCTTTTAGCAGTGTGAACTGTCTTTTGGAATTTCAAATTCTTAACGGCAAAGTAATAGACCGAATTCAATAGGTCGAGATGGGACTCTGGTGAAATGAAGAAAGTGGGACCTTACTTTAAACATAAGTCGTCGCATTCGAAAAGAAGTATTATTTAATGGCGTCGAAGGACAAAAGTTCATCGAGATAGATTGGTTTATAGGTCGCAATCTTTTCCATCGAGTACCGTTGGTTGCGCATCCAGATCAGGATGACATATATGGTTTCGTGGAAGGACACGGACACTTTTAGCAGCGTTGAACTGTCTTTTGGAAATTTCAAATTCTTAAGGGCGAAGCAATAGTCCGAAGTCAATAGTTCAAAATGGGACTTTAGTGAAATGAAGAAATGGGACCGTACTTCAATCAGAAGTTGCCGCATTAGAAAGAAAGTATTATTCAATGGCGTCGAAGGACATCAAGTCATCGAGATAGATTGGTTTATAGGTCGCAATTTTTTCATCGATATCGAGTTGACATCGATCATGGACTAACTTATGGTGCTCATATTCAGTTCTCTAAGTTAAGGGGATGCAATTTGCTTAATCTGGTGAGGTGATTTTCCACTCTATCCATAATGGGGACAGCTGAGGAAACAGAAGACATATAGCGACACAATCTATTGGTGAACACGTTATATACTTGGTAATTGGTGCCTGATGACTTCCTAGGTTTCCTTGATAAGATGATCGGGCAAGCAGTGGTGCTGACGCAAAAGAAATCCGATACATTCATAAGGGGAGATCAATAAGAGGGGATTCAAATATGAGCTCATCAACATATTATGTTTTATCCACTTTCATTCAAAAGTTCAAATCATGAGTTATGAGTTAACTAGGAGAGATGTATATTGATTGCTCCAAATCACATCAAATTGTTGATGTGGAATTTTTCCAATATAACTTACATGTGCACATCAATGTTCTTCTCTCCACATGTGACCTCCGGTTTCAAGCATGTTCGCCTTTAGTTCATGTATGCTTCTGCATTAATATATCTCAATTTTAATTTTCACATTGTTACCCTACATAGCATCTATTGACTCAATATCACATTGTTGTAGCCCAACACGCGCCTGCACCATGCATGATCTCTATCTTGCATCCAAAACAAGCGTTAATTATGAGATTTCTTCCTTAAAATATTTAAGGAACAACGAAACAGATTAAGGCCCACCGACCAGCCATGGCCGGTGATACACTTGTTAGGACTCGTAAGATATCTTCACATGGAGAAATCCCCAATGAAAAAGTCTAAATTCGAGTTCATCAATATACCGAATTAAATACGTTTTCATTCAAAAATTTAAATTAATATATTATGAGCAAACTAAAATATATTAACTGTCGAACATCATACCAATTCTCCGATATTAAATGCTTAGCCAATGAACAAGGGCCTAATTCAAAAAAAAAAAACACACACACACACAAACTTTGCCTTCCGTGACAATTCTGGCTGGAGTCTTATAAAAAATCACTAACTTCTACTCAAGTCTCAAATCTGGGCCCCCTAAAAAATTATAAACTTTCACTTAAGTTCAAAATCTGGTCCGAATAATTTGAAAATTTTACATCACGGGAGCTAAATTTAAGACTCGAGTAAAAGTTGGTGATTTTTTTTATAGAACAAAAAAATGTTGGGATCAGAATTATCACTCAAGATAAAGTTGGTGCTTTTTTTGAGAATTAGCCCATGAACAATTGGCAAAAAATCTAGATATGATTTGGAAATCGTGCGTGGAAAACTAAAAGTTAGATTAGTTCCGATATGCATGATGGAACGGGATGCGCTTAAGCAGAAAAGTCCTGTTTTGTAGTTGGGGGATGAACAAAATATAAGCAAATCTGAAATTCAGATAGGATCTTTGAAATTGAAACCATAGTTTGACTTCTACGTCCAGGAAAGATAAAATCATTGAATTTCTTCAATTCCAGTCGACGAAATTTTATTTTAATTCGCTTTATCTTTTCCCCGAATCTCTCAATCTTTCATATAAAAAAGGTGAATTTTACTAATTTGCGTGCAAAATTTCTAGGGCATAACCTATGGAGACACGTACGTGATCGCAAATCCACAAATCAAACTAAAATTAGGAGCCATGTCTCAACATATATCTACTAACACGGCATATGTAATAATTCGAAAAAAGGCTACTCGATCATAGGGCTGGCATGCATATTTTGCATGCTCTTATAGAAAACATACTAGATAGAGGAAGCTTAAAGTATATTTTATATCGCTTCAATATGAACAAATATATTTTAAATTTTTAGATTGAAACTATTAAAAGGGGTACGGCACAATTGCCATGATAGAAAATATTCAGTGATTTGCAAGCGCCGCGTCAATAGCTGATGTGGCGTGCATATTTTACTCTCGACACATGGTTGCTGACGTGTATTAAAAAAATGCTTTTTTTTCTTCCTTCTTCAGCACTGCTTCTTCAACCTCCGCTCCGCTGGGCTTGGCTATCTCTACCACCAAGCCGCCGCCACCACCATCCTTGAGCCACCGCCCCACCGTGGCCACCACCGTCCGCGGCAAAGTTGTTGAGCTTGTCACCGGCAACCATGGACGATGAAGTTCTGTGAACTGCGTGTGGTTTTCTCGATTTGTCTTTCAAGATGCCTACTGCTCCAGATTTGGATTTCGTTGGTGAATGAACAGAGGAAGAAGAAGCGCTCGTCCATGGCCGACCTCTGCACGCTTTATGGACGAGCCACCGTCCATGGCCACCCAACCTGCTCAAGTCATGGCTTCAGATCTGGTGTTCTCTCGCGGCCATGGATGGTGCCTTGAGTCATTTGGCCCTAGATTTAAAGTTCGTCCACCTATTGCTCCAGATCTGGAGTTCTTTCGTGGACGAACAGAGGAAGACGAAACGCTCGTCCATGGCCGACCTCCGCGCGATTTATGGACGAGCCACCGTCCATGGCCACCCCTCCTGCGCGTCTTCAGATCTGTGACGAGAAGTCGTGCCGCCGTCTAGCGGCCATCCATACCGGCCGCCCGCTGTCCATGGAAACCCAGATGAAGAAGGAGTGCGTTGTTGAAGAAGAAAAAAAAAAGAAATTCCACATCATTTTTTTAATACACATCAGCAGCCATTTGTCCATTTATTAGTGGACGAGAATAAAATATGCACGCCACATCAGCTATTAGTCTGGCGCTTACAAGCCATTGAATATTTTCTTTAAGATAAGAGACGTTTTGGTCCCATTATCAACATCGTACGATGGAGGGTGAGTAGCGCAACAGTTCAAGGAAGACGACACTTGATCATATAATTGCAAATTCTAAGGCGGTGGTCCAATTTTGTATTCTTCTCACGTGAGACGACAGCATTCATGCATCGGAAGGCACGAAATCAAATGTTCGATTTGGATGTTTTTGGTTCGAATCTTGTCAAATGACATGCGTTTTTTCTGTCTTAATATTCGAATCTTGTCAAATGACATGCGTTTTTTCTGTCCTGATATTCGAATCTCAATGAGTTCATTCCCTAAGATGCAAAATTGAATAATTTGCAAAACTGATATTCATTTCATGATTGTTAATTTTTTTATATATAACATTTCAATTTATTGATGAAATTCCATATTGGTCATCTCCATTATGTCATTAATCATTAGTATTTTCTAAAAAAGAAGCTGTTAGTGAAAATTATGGATTGATAAGACAGCTTCTACTTAGCAATAGTTGTTTATCTCATAACGTTAGTCAAGCTAATATTGTGGTCGAAAAAATTTGCAGCTCGGTACGATCAATGTAATAAATATGAATTTATTCATTTTCATTTGACCTTCTATTTGTCCCCCGTTTTCTATATTAAGCAAAAATCAACTAAAGACCTAACTATGTGGTAACTCATGAAACACCTTTAAACCCTATATAATAGTTAAGAGGCCTTAATTTGGCCTGTGTAGGTAGTGTCGGTCAAGAGCAGTTTGCACGCAGTTAATGAGATTTGAAAGGGTGAGCTCTAATTTTCGAGTTGAAAATCCTTTCGCACTCCAACCAATCACACCAATTCTAAGGGGCCTTTGCCCGAGCAGTGATTAATTTAGGTACCTAAAAAGGCAGGCCTAATCAAAATTAAATTCTCTGTTACACAACATCACGGCCATTCCTCAAAATCAAGCAAAAATGCAGTAGACTCTAGATCTAATGTGTCCTCTTTTGTACAAACAGTCCCCGTCCAACTCTCTAAAAAAATTCCTTCGCCACTAGGTGCAGTATTATCGATAGTCTCGAGCATATTCCCCATAAAATGGTCTTTCTCTGCTTGGAAATGATCATCAAGGTCAAAGTCGCAGAGACGAATTTCGCTAGCACCTTGAAGAGGAAAATCTTCACGGCGAGCCTTACAAATCTGTGAATCCTGGATGTCACTCGTTGATTTAAGCAGGGGACTGTTTTCATGTAGTTTCTCCTGGGCTAGAAGCAGGGTGCACCATGTCGGCTTTGCTCGTACAGGTTGGGGTCTGGTGGTGATTGCCGGCGGCGATGGCAAACTCGAGGGCCCGACGATGTTGGAATTGGCATTGGTGGCCAAGATCCTTTTGGCTTTGGGCTTTGATGAAGGTGATTCTTGGGATGGAAAAGGAGGTGGTTGAGCTATAGCTTTCTTCGCCAAAGTGGTGTTCCAATAGTTCTTGATTTCATTGTCCGTTCGTCCCGGAAGTCTACCCGCGATCAGCGACCATCTACACAAAAACATTAATAATTCTTTCGGTTAAGTCGAATTATTTAGATTGTAAGATCATGATATGTACACGACACCAGCACCCGGGGAGAGAGAGAGAGAGAGGGAGAGAGACAGAGAGAGGAGGACCTGTTACCAAGGAGCTTATGGAGTCTGATAATGAGTTCTTCTTCATCATGGGATATGTTACCCCTCTTGATGTCTGGTTTTAGATAGTTTAGCCATCTCAGTCTACAGCTCTTGCCACATCTCTTGAGACCTGCAATTCTCAGCTTTATGAGACATGAACTGGAGATGTACTTTTTAATTCAATGAAATTGAGAGAAAATGGGAAAGTGGGTTGTGGAAGAAACAAAAGCAAGGTATAAGAATACCAGCTCTCTTGGGAAGATTCGTCCATTGGCCTTCTCCATGTGCTTTGACATAAGCGGTCAGAATTCTATCTTCCAAGGGAGTCCATGCTCCTCTGTTCAGTCCCACCTTTGAGCAACATGGACTCCTTCCCATCTCTCTCTCTCTCTCTCTCTCTCTCTCTTTGTGACTTTATCAAGTGAAATGAAGAGTATCCATATGGCCTTTATATACTGGCAGAAGCAAAAGTGACAGAGATCTGCCAGTGAAGTACGATAACTGTGCACGGCGATGATGTGGCCAATAACGCCAAACAAGAAACTAGTCCAAGGGGTGTGCATGGTCCAGGTGCGCGGTTCCCACCCCGAAACCGTGGACCGCCCGCTACAAGACCGGTTCCAAAAATTGGAACCGAGAACCGCCCGTCGGTTCCATGGACCCGCCCGAGAACCGAACCGCCGGTCCGGTCCGGTTCTTGGGCGGGTCCATGGAACCCGGTCTCAACAAGTTTTCCTAGACAAATAAAAAAAAATCTGTGGACCAACATCGGATCAACATAACAAAAGGAAAAGAACATAACTTTTCATATAATTCCTACACTATGATCGATTATATTAACCACATCATCCATAAATCAAGTGGGTACCCATTAATTATTGCGAAAAATGACCAAGGTATCCCAACTACACAAGAGCTTCAGACATGATAACAAATTTTCTTTTTTTTTTGGTCAGATTTTTTTAATTAAAAATTTTAAAAAATAAAATATATTATTATTATATTACGTGCAGTCCGGGTGGGCGGGTGGGCGGTTCCACACTGGCACGGAACCAGCCCAAACGATCGGGTTTCCAAAAAATTGGAACTGGGAACTGGACCGGTTCCGGTCCGGTTCTGGGCGGTTCCGGGCGGGTCCCGGTTCTTTTGCACACCCCTAAGTCCAACACGAGAAAACCCTAATAATTTATGAGTGGTGGTGGGTCAAGAATCATGATCATATTGTTCCTCTTGCTTCAAACAACAATGAAGCACTCACTTTTTCGGGGAAAAGTGCCAAAAAAGTCCTAAACCTTTTGCATTAGTGCCAATTTAGTCCTAAACCTTTTTTTGGTGCCAATTCAGTCCTAAACCTTTTGCATTGGTGCCAATTTAGTCCTAAACCTTTTTTAGTGCCAATTAAGTCCTAAACCTTTTAAATTGGTGCCAATTCGATCCTAAACCTTTTATTTTTGTGCCAATTTAGTCCTTAGGTCAACTTTGACCGGAATTCTGTACGTGGACGCTTGCTTAGGCCGGCGGCGATCACCGGCCCGACGTGGCGTGCCGACGTGGACAAATTAAATAATATTTTAATATTTTTTGAATTTTTATTTTTTCCTTTTTTTTTTTTTTTTCCACTTTTTTTTTTTTGGTTTCTTCTTCATTGGCCGGTCACCGGTCCGGCGACCGGCCGAGCCGGTGGCCGCGAGCTCGACCTCGCCGGCCCCCGGGAGGGCGGCCTCGCCGGCGAGGCCGAGCCTCGCCATGGTCGGGCGAGGCTCGAGCCCTCGCCGGGAGGCCGCGGCGAGGCGAGCCTCGCCATGGTCGGGCGAGGCCCGACCTCGCCGGATCTGGCGAGGTCGAGCCTGACCAACCATGGCGAGGCTCGAGCCCTCGCCGGAGGCCGCGGCGAGGGCGAGCCTCGCCATGGTCGGGCGAGGCCCGACCTCGCCGGATCTGGCGAGGTCGAGCCTCGCCGGCGGGTGGGCGAGGCCCGAGGCCTCGCCGGATCCGGCGAGAGTCGGGCCTCGCCAGCACCATGGCGAGGCTCGCCCTCGCCACGGCCTCCGGCGAGGGCTCGAGCCTCGCCCGACCAAGGCGAGGCTCGGCCTCGCCGGCGAGGCCGCCCTCCCGGTGGCCGGCGAGGTCGAGCTCGCCGGCCACTGGCCTCTGGCCGGTCGCCGGTATGAAGAAGAAACCAAACAAAAAAAGTGGAAAAAAAAAAAAAGAAAGAAAAAAATTCAAAAAATTCAAAAAAATATTAAAAATATTATTTAATTTGTCCACGTCAGCACACGTCATGGCGTGGACCGGCTAGCGCCGGGCCGGCAGCGCCACATCAGCAAATTCGGTCAAAGTTGATCTAAGGACTAAATTGGCACAAAAATAAAAGGTTTAGGACTGAATTGGCACTAATTTAAAAGGTTTAGGACTTAATTGGCACCAAAAAAAGGTTTAGGACTAAATTGGCACCAATGCAAAAGGTTTAGGACTGAATTGGCACCAAAAAAAGGTTTAGGACTAAATTGGCACTAATGCAAAAGGTTTAGGACTTTTTTGGCACTTTTCCCCACTTTTTCGACAGGAAAATCACCTTGACAACACTGCACGAAATTCATCTCGGATCACTTATCATAACATAGAAGTTATTTATTAGATCAATCTTTGTAATAGAAATCTTCGACAAACTACATGCTGAACAAAAAAAATTATGTAAATCATACGTCATCTTGTGCCAAGAAAAAAAATACTTTGAGCGTGATCCTCGGTCATCCAGTTCCAATCTTAGGTTGTAATCATCGTTAAGTTACTAGGATATGAAAAGCACCCATCATTTAAAAATTAGGAATTTATTATTCCCGATGATCGTAGCATATACGAAAGAAATACTAATAATGACCACCCCGCCGATGGAGCTACTTCGCTAATTAATATTTCTACACGTGTCAATATGATGGCACACACGCATCCACAGAGTAAATTATACTTAATTGAAAATTGAGCTTAGTTGGCTTTAGAAGCTCATTATGAAGTTGGAGTCAAGATAAAAATAGATTATACTTATTGAAAGTTGTCTCGACCGCATTTAAATATCATTTGAGCTGAAATTATTACAGCAATGTCAGTTATACAATTGACGATCGTTACAATTTCGTAACATGCCTATGAAGTGTTCTCCAAACTCGGTTTTTCTGAGTGTTAGCTAGCAATACATGACAACTTAAAATACATGTGTACCCTTATATCCACTTTTGTTATAAAAATGGGGTCTCTCTACTCCACTTTTGTTCGCGACCTTGTATGCACAAATGATATTGCAATCATTTTATCTAAAGGTATTGCATAAGGTGTAAGTAAGTTCGCTTTTACTCAATCAAAATTTGAGTTCGAATCACCACACTTGCGCATTCTCTTGAAACCACTCTCAAGAGCACAAACCTATGTGTCTCTAATAATTACTCGATTTATGCGCGGAATAAGGAGATTGTCAAACGGGATTGGTTGGATGCTCAAAGAGTTCCAAACACCCTTTTGATTTAACAAAAAGGTTTTTCAATTGCATAATTTGCTAATAAAAAATTATGGTGTGTTTCACAAAAAAGAAAAAAAGAGAGAGACCATATCAGATGCCTAAGTTCACACGCACTTCTGACCCATCGATCTTTGCCTATGACCGACTTTTCTAGATCGCAAACTGGTGCGAAGTGGCCCATTAGGAATCTCTAGGCTGCCAATGCACCCGATAGAAAACGCAATCGAAAATGCACGTTATAGTTTCTTTTTTCTCTCTTTTGAGAAATCAGACTAATGTGTACATCTTTAGTACGCAGAGAAATTGTTTATTTCCGACCCGATAATTGATTATAAATTCCACTTGCATGAACAATAACCCACAGCCTGCAACACCCATCAATTTAACAGACTGAAGTTTGTGCAGTTCCTTTTCATCTTTTGCCAGAAATGGGCAAAGGTCATTCTTTCACCAAACAAGGAATAAAGAAAGGAGCATGGGCCTTTCAAGAAGACCAGACACTCATTCATTACGTCGCTCTCCATGGTGATAAAAAGTGGAGCATTGTGGCGAAAGAAGCAGGTCTGAGATCATACACGCATATGATCTTGTTCTCATTGGCAACAACATGGCAAAATCTTTCTGGGTTTTTTTTTTTCTACCTTGGGAAATAAATTAATCGATCTATGCTTTTGGGTATGGCTCCAGAGATCTGCGAAGAGTTGTAGGCTTCGTCGTTTGAATTACTTGAGACCCGGCATCAAGAGGGCAACAATCTATGTTAATGATGCTGCATTTTCATTGAACATGACTCCAACCACATTCTGAGACTAGGAAACTCAACTTTAATTGCACGTGAGAGTAGTGTTGGCGGAAGCCTTGAAGATATATATAATTAATAAGCTTAAACACTGTCTATAATTTTATTTAATGATCTTCGTTGCTGGGGTCGCTATAGCATCCAGATCGATTAAGATGAAATTTTTGCAGGTGGTCATTGATTGCCGGCCGGCTTCCAGGCGAACAGGCAATGAAATGAAAAACTATTGGCACTCGAACATGGCCAGAAGGGGACAAGCTGACCCTAAGCAATCTAAGCAAGCCATGAAAGAGAGAAATGTTAATCGACCAAGACGAAGCCAGCCATAATCGCAGTCGCTCTGGATGTCACTAAACCTGAAGATGAAGACCTTAAAAAACTAGTTGGATCGCATCCGATCAATGTCCACACAAATGTCATACCCATAGATGAAAATCGTCCAGAACTCATAATGGATTTGATATCGGAGATATAGACATTCCAGAGATCGACTTTGACAATGCTTTCTCAAGGCTCGTGAGTTTGAGATTTTTCATATCGATGCTTTTACTGAAGCAAGCCATATAAACAAAGTCAGCGAAAGCGATGTGCCACGCTGCAACTATGCTATGGACCTTTCTCGCAGAGTTTGTGGAGGACGACTACGATCAACCTGAAATGAACTCTCGTATGAATACATGGATGTCTATGATGGAATCCTCGTTAGAGTGGACCATCTGAGACTTTGAATATTTGATGAAGCAAATTAATGGAAGAGTTACATAATCTCAAGGTGCTAATCCCATCATTTATTTCTTCTTCATTTGCAATTGTATGATGATTGAAGCTAAGGAAACGGCTACTATTGGATCGTCTACGGTTTAGTTGAATATCAGATGCTCGCAATTTATTGTTTGGTTCCTGATGTAAATGCTGTTTTCAAAAGCTTACAAAGGCGTGTTTGAAACTTGCCAAATGCTTTTTTTTCCAGTTTTCCTAGATCATGCTTATATACGAGACCTTTAGTTTTAATCATCCATATAAAAATAATAATAATAATATGCTTTGCGCTATTAATATGCTTTCTGTGTCGGTAAATTTCGGAAAGAGTTGGTAAATATCAAAAATTTA